TTTAGTTGGGTTTATAAATTGCTTTCATCAGCTAGTTCAAATTCCCCAGAATTCCTGTAGTTTACCTTGTAATTTTATTCTTTTTTTATACAATCACTTTTCCAAGGAGGACTATATGACAAGGATGTCGTTGCACCTTCTGCATCTGCTAATGCACTTCTTCACAAACAGCATTATAACACTGTGGAATTAAACTTCTTAAACAATGGGGTAAGGAAGAGAAGATGTATGAACTTTTTTTCCTTTTCAATCCATCTTAAGAAAATACAAACAAGAGCAGTTCATAGGGACTGAAAATTTCCAGTACAATTTCACCTGTGCTATATAAAGCTCACTTATAATTCCAATGGCCTGAATGATATATTTGCAGCTCACGGAGTGGAGGCGTGTTGAGTGAAAGTCACTCCAGGAGCTGGTATAGCAGGAGAGAGAAACTGAAGAAATAATGTCAGTCCAAGAATCAGATTTCTAGCAAATATTTTACCTAATTGCATTCCAAAACAAAAATAGTCTTCTACCTCTTTGTGTGGAAGCTGCAGTGAGTTGAGACTCTGTTCAGACCCGCAATAGTCACGAAGTCATTTGTAGGCACCTCCACAAGATCATTCAGTCTTACTCACAATTACTAAGAACTGTGACTTTAAAGGGGTGAACTGCCTGGAGGTACCCGTGTTTCTCCACTAACTGCAGAGGGAGAGGGCTTGACTAGACACCGAAATTGCACAGAGCTGAACCCAGGTGAGGTTGATGCTCTGATGACACTGCGGTGGAAATAATAAGCATTAAATTTGCAGTCTCAGTAGTTCCACAGACAAGGTCTACAATGGGTAAACAGACTGAGAACATTGAATAACGCTTAATATGCAAAGTATTCAAAAAATACCCATCAATGTCTTTTATCTCTGCTTTCATGCGTATTCCCAGTCTCTAAATGCTAAGTGGTAGCATGGGACTACTTACACTTTAAATTTAAAGTGCATGCTCAGTTCCAGTACGCACAGTCAGCACTCCAGCAGTTTTCATTTTCAGCACATTTCAAAAGATGTAAACTGGTTGACAAAAACCCGTACCATAAAGGAACGAGTAAAACCCTGGGATTTTTGCTCAGCTCAGAAAAGGGCGTCAGAGCTCTAAAGGTTCTACCCCACCTTATAGTAATTGGACTGAATGGATAGGGAGACATTTTCTTCCATCCTTCTAACAACTTTTGTGAAATCAGCTGCTAGTCTTAGTGTCCTAATTAAATGTCTGACACCAGAAAAGTTGCCATTTTGACTGACAAAGTTCTTATGAGATCAAGACTTCCCCCTTACCTGCCATGTGTGTTTGCAACACCTCCAAAACCACTTTGGTGCTGTTGGCTACAGAATTTAAGTCCAATGCTTTCACCATTTTTGTACCATGTATGTGTGTATGTATATCTGCATGCAGAAATATGTCTCCCTATGGCATCATTTACAGGCCCTAGAAATCCTTTCTGCTCTGCTGGTTTTGTTGTTTGTATACTATTAAACAACATCTTTGCAGCACCGAGAGGACGAGGGGCAACGGGCACAAGTTGGAACATAAGAGGTTCCACTCAAATATGAGGAGAAACTTCTTCACGGTGAGGGTGACGGAACCCTGGAACAGGCTGCCCAGGGAGGTTGTGGAGTCCCCTTCTTTGGAGATTTTCAAAACCCGCCTGGATGCAGTCCTGAGTAACATGCTCTAGCTCTAGGCAATCCTGCTTCAGCAGGGGAGTTGGACTAGATGATCTCTATGGTCCCTTCCAACTCTAGAAATTCAGTGAAATTCAGTGAAATTCAGTGAAATTCATCTGTTAGGCCCAAGATTGTATAGATGTGACCTTGATACAACTCTTTTCCTCATTCATCTGTTAGGCCCGTGAAAAGTACTCATTGCAACTTATTCATAGAAGGGTAAGAGAGAAAAGGAATCTGCCCCTTTCTTTGCACAGATTTAGTTGGGTTTATAAATTGCTTTCATCAGCTAGTTCAAATTCCCCAGAATTCCTGTAGTTTACCTTGTAATTTTATTCTTTTTTTATACAATCACTTTTCCAAGGAGGACTATATGACAAGGATGTCGTTGCACCTTCTGCATCTGCTAATGCACTTCTTCACAAACAGCATTATAACACTGTGGAATTAAACTTCTTAAACAATGGGGTAAGGAAGAGAAGATGTATGAACTTTTTTTCCTTTTCAATCCATCTTAAGAAAATACAAACAAGAGCAGTTCATAGGGACTGAAAATTTCCAGTACAATTTCACCTGTGCTATATAAAGCTCACTTATAATTCCAATGGCCTGAATGATATATTTGCAGCTCACGGAGTGGAGGCGTGTTGAGTGAAAGTCACTCCAGGAGCTGGTATAGCAGGAGAGAGAAACTGAAGAAATAATGTCAGTCCAAGAATCAGATTTCTAGCAAATATTTTACCTAATTGCATTCCAAAACAAAAATAGTCTTCTACCTCTTTGTGTGGAAGCTGCAGTGAGTTGAGACTCTGTTCAGACCCGCAATAGTCACGAAGTCATTTGTAGGCACCTCCACAAGATCATTCAGTCTTACTCACAATTACTAAGAACTGTGACTTTAAAGGGGTGAACTGCCTGGAGGTACCCGTGTTTCTCCACTAACTGCAGAGGGAGAGGGCTTGACTAGACACCGAAATTGCACAGAGCTGAACCCAGGTGAGGTTGATGCTCTGATGACACTGCGGTGGAAATAATAAGCATTAAATTTGCAGTCTCAGTAGTTCCACAGACAAGGTCTACAATGGGTAAACAGACTGAGAACATTGAATAACGCTTAATATGCAAAGTATTCAAAAAATACCCATCAATGTCTTTTATCTCTGCTTTCATGCGTATTCCCAGTCTCTAAATGCTAAGTGGTAGCATGGGACTACTTACACTTTAAATTTAAAGTGCATGCTCAGTTCCAGTACGCACAGTCAGCACTCCAGCAGTTTTCATTTTCAGCACATTTCAAAAGATGTAAACTGGTTGACAAAAACCCGTACCATAAAGGAACGAGTAAAACCCTGGGATTTTTGCTCAGCTCAGAAAAGGGCGTCAGAGCTCTAAAGGTTCTACCCCACCTTATAGTAATTGGACTGAATGGATAGGGAGACATTTTCTTCCATCCTTCTAACAACTTTTGTGAAATCAGCTGCTAGTCTTAGTGTCCTAATTAAATGTCTGACACCAGAAAAGTTGCCATTTTGACTGACAAAGTTCTTATGAGATCAAGACTTCCCCCTTACCTGCCATGTGTGTTTGCAACACCTCCAAAACCACTTTGGTGCTGTTGGCTACAGAATTTAAGTCCAATGCTTTCACCATTTTTGTACCATGTATGTGTGTATGTATATCTGCATGCAGAAATATGTCTCCCTATGGCATCATTTACAGGCCCTAGAAATCCTTTCTGCTCTGCTGGTTTTGTTGTTTGTATACTATTAAACAACATCTTTGCAGAAGAAAATCTCAGCATGAAGCCAGTGTATTTAATGACTATCCAAAGAGACTTGTATAACACATGGATTCCGATATGGCAATAGTTTACTAAGCAGGCTTTGTATCTCTCATAACTTCAATTGTCTTGAGCAGGATATAGATTTTTCTAAGATAGGGTTAACATGAGATTTTTTTTGTGAACAATGGTGTGTCCTTCAGGCTTGAAATTCAGCTGTGATCTTACCGCTGTTTATTTTGCCAGACAACTGGCACAGCCACATTGCCACTAACCCCCTGTGCTTACACAGGCTTTTACACTGCAGCTGGGTGAGCTGGGAAAAATCCTCCACAGAACTCTATCTGTCTCTTACTTTTAGTTTTTATTCCCAAAGGTGAAATGGGTGTAGATTTGTATTTATTCTTTCGGACTTGAAATCAGCAGTAGATCTTACCTCTGTGGCACAGAGTCTGTGGAAACTTTGTGCTTGGTGGTAGTTCCACTTCAAGAAACAGAAAAATAACGTATGACTTTGCGGCAGATTGAAAATACATTACCGAGCTCAGGCATAAGCATAGCTTGGGTGCAAAAACTCCAGTGGCAATTGCAAGAGAAATAAAATATGTACTTAATCATCCAGGCAGCCTCGCAGAGTTCCACTGATTTTTGATTAAGCAGAACAGACAGATAAACACAACTAGCATTGTCCTTCCAATCAGTGGCCTCTGCATGAAATCAATGCTTCTGGATTACGCTGGAGTTAAAAGACCCTTATCAAGAGAAAATTCTTATTTCATGAAAGACCTACTGTGCTTGTGTTATTCACAATGTATTTCACAATTCTTGCTGTTTAAATCACAAGCATTTTGCAGACATAGAAGGGTTGTTATTGGGTTTTTTCCTCATAATTGCTCTTCCTGTTGCTTCTAATATAACATCCATTGTAAATACGCTCAATGGGTCGATTTCGCTCTCACTTATAAAGTCCACTTAATCTTTCTAGTCTCCACGAAAAGCTTTTTGGTTTGGTAATGATGCAGGAACATTTTTTATGAAAGAGTTTTAAGGAGAGGGAATTTTATTTATTTTTTAATTAAGGTTTTACACAGGATAAACATCGTTCTCAATGACAGCCTACCCAATCCCTGTGCTTTATATTAAGGAATGTGCAAAGGACTTTGTGCATAAAGGATGAAGAGGTTGAACACTAGTCCCAGAATTTAGGTGGATGTGTGGAAACCTAGAAGAGCTGCTTTTCCACTTCTATGGAAAGTCCATAGAACCTCCATTTCCAGGAGCCAATGGCCTCAAAAGTTTTCATAGTCCATCAAGGGATGTTTTCCTTTCTATATTATTCAGCAAGCATAAATATCCCAATTCCATATGTCACAAATTCACCTAAGGTGACCCGCAACTTTGTGAAAAACACACACCTATATTTTGAAAACCTGTAAAATGCACTTCACATAGTTGTAGCGTTGCATAGTTGAGTCTCAGCTGCACTATAAAAAGTCTTTTCTTTTTTTGACACATACCTTTTTCTTGTTGGTGGGACAAATGTAGAAATTGTCAATAACAGTGGAAATCCCAGGCTGTAGATTCAACTTTGTGTATAATGTCCCAAAATCTGAGGACCTGAAAGAAACCAAACATCTGTAAGTTCTCTCTTCTAAAGGCTTCAGCATTGAAACTCTGCAAAAAGAAAACCACTATGTAGCAGTAACTATCCCTTTTCAATGCTTCTCTGCCATTCTTTTGTTCTTTTCAGTGCTTATTAGCTAAAAGAAACTAAAAGGAACCTGCCACTATTAAGAATAATTTTCTGGGTTTGAAAAAGCATGGCTAGTTCTGTCTGTGTTCTGTAGTTCTCTGCGGTGCTAATTTTCACCCTGACACTGCACCGTGCAGTCACAGAAGCACAACATGTACACCTTTCCATCACCACCCACAAGGTGGGGAAAAAAAAGCTAAGCTAAGGCTCATCAGCAAGTGCTAACAGCACCTCTGCAGCTACTCAGAAAGAAGAAGAGCTAACTTCAGAGCCTGGTGTTGCATAAGAGAACAATTTGACCTGAGATCTAGAGGACTCACAATGGACCTCTACCAGAATTCATACTTGGTAAAGGTATCCATCCACTCCTCTACCTCTTTTTCAGAGGATCACTAAATTTTGAGTGAATAAAAACAAAGTCAGAACTTGGCCATCAGTATGTCATGCACAATAATCTAAGAGTATTTTAAATGTGGGCACTCGGCAGGAATTGCTTTGAATTCCTGAAAAAATACAGTGAAAAATGGCACCCGTGCTATGCACCTGTATTGGCAATGTCTAGTACAAAAAGAATGCACAAGGAAAAAGCGTAGGAAAACCTTAGTTACAAAACTCAAAGCAAGTCACATCCAAAATTGAATCACTTTGGGTGAAGCCTCATTCATTCTATATAGGATCAACTTGCACCATACGGTCTCTCCATATTTACAGTTTTTCCTTTCACATTTGGAAGGGAACTCAGACACATCTAAGGCACCTCTCCCTTCTTGACCAAGAAGCCCTCCCTAAGACAGGTGGTTGGTGGGAGGATTTCCAATTTACACTCCCCTTTTTTCAATGGAATAAAATCTCATTTAACAAACAGGGCTGAAGGTGCCCTGCCTGGTACCTTTGCATTATTCAAACAATTGGGAATATGCAACAGCTCTCATGTCCAAGAGACCCAGGGTGAGATCTCTGTCCTTCCCAGCGTGACACTGAGGAGTGCCTCTGCAGTGATTTCTGCCCTATAGCCCCATTCCCCCATGCTCCTTGCTCCCCAGCAAGCTCTACTCTCTATTGTCTCACACTCCTCGCCCAGGGGAGTCACTGCTGAAATTCATAGGAACATGAGTGAGTACAACAAGAAAGAAAAGTGAGAAACTAAATCCTTGGCTGACTGTGTCCACCATGACAGGTGGCCCACAGCCTGAGGTCTTCTCCAAGTCACCTGAGGCAGAGTGGTCCCCAAGGGGCTGGTGCCCACAGGCGGCTGCCATGTGCACTGTGTGCCCACCTTGTGCCCGCCCAGTCCTGTCCAGGATGTCACGGAAGTCAGAGGGCATGTGGTACAAAGCCAGAGGCAGCTACTTTGCTTTCACACATCCAGCTTTCCCCATGATATGAGAACTTTCAGCTGTGGTTGTGGAGCAGCATTCTGTATCTTTGGCATCACCAAGCATATTGGGCACAGAATGATAACCCTGGATCAGGTCCTAAGGGACACCAAGTCAAGAAGGGTTATATTTACCTTGCTTTTCTTCCCCCTCCACCAGCCAAAAAGTGACTGGGCATAAGCCTCTGACACAGACCACACTCACAGCCTAAAGTTAAGGGTTTATCTATTGTATAGTGACATCTGAATGGATTTGATCTGGGTTTTCTCCCCCCCCTTAATGTTGCTTTGTCTGCAGATATACGGCAATACATTACAGAAGTTAATGGAATCATAGCAATTCAGTTTTGACAAATAATTACAGAGAAATCAAATACATATAATTGTACTGCACTGGGTATTCAGCACTGAGATAATTAAAATTCTAAGGGGAATAGGATGGACAGTGCTAAACCTAATTTGCTGGAGGTGTTTGACAGAAAAGAAATTAAAGCCAAGACTAAAATACTGACTTCAGCCAGATGTACTGAAATCATGCAGAACAAATATGCATGATGGAAACAGAACCTAGTCTATTCTCTTTGAGTACAGAATATCAGGTCAGTGGCTTGCCCAGTAATAACATCCTGGGATAATTCTCTGAACCTTAAAGATGATCCAATTTACTTTGAAGAGGCAGTTCCAGGATAATACAATAGGACCACCGGAGAGTTACACTGCAGGAGGCATGGTGGCAGCAACTGTCTCAAGGTATGAAAAGGGTACAAGCAGGAAGCCCGAAGAGGATAAGCATTTCAAAGATAAAAAGTTCCAGTCTAAAACTTCCTCTTCCAAATCTTATGACTTATAAAAAGTACTACAAGAAGAGAATAAAGTTGTAACAAAAAGAGTAGGCTAAGGTAATAAGGTATTTTCAGACAAAGTTAGAAAAAGTATACAGTCAAAAATTTTTGATTTCTGGTACAAATTAGCTATCTCAAGGAGAAAAAAACCCAAACAATTCCAATCTGAGACAACAGCGTAACGTATATCGCTAAAAGTTTACCATGCCTAAAGCAGGGATACTTGGATTCACAGAAGATCTACGGAGAAAGTTATTCAGACTCCTAAATCATTTATCTATAACCCAGCCTCGAGTGAGTCAGGGAATATCAGCTACTCTTGGAGACATTTACATACAAAAGGACATAGTTCAAGGACATCATTCAAGGGAAGCACTGTTCAAAATAATTGGTTTTCCAAATCTGCTATAATCCAGAGAAAACAGGTCACTACAACTTTTTTACTTGAGATACAAATTCCAAGTTCCTGACTCTGCATATACGAAGAATTAGCATTTTGAATTAACAGCTAGAACAGAGTTCCCTGTGATTACACCACTAGTCTATAGGCAGGGTTAAGAAGGATGAATTTGGGGATCTCAGAGCATGCTTATTTCAAGAATATAAGAAGAAGAAGCACAAAATGTGGCTTAAACCAAATTAAGAAGAGGAGAAATCCTTTATATTCTTCCAGTCACAAAGAGATTTTTTTGTGTGTTAAAAAACCAAATTTGTGCTGTGTCAAAGTGTTAAGGAAAGGAAAAAAAACCCAAACCTCACAAATGAACCATCTGTGTTTATCAGTATAAATACACTATCTTTCCTCCCTAAAATTAATGAAAATATATTTCAAGGTATAATGGAAAGAGGATACATGTGTATCTGATAAGAAGAGTAAAACATCCTTCTATAACATGGTTTATTTGCAGTGGTAGCACAACAGCAGAACTCCATAAACCACAGCAAGAAGTGTAAAGTCTGACTTCTTAAAATGGGCCTGATCTGCAGTTATGAACGATCTGGGAGCAGTTAGTGAGCATTTTGGCTTTCTGTGAGACATTCCAGGGAATACAGCAAGCTATCCAGAGGCTGCTGCTGCTTGTTCTCCTGTGCGCTACAGGCTACTGATTGTATGGATGCTTCTCAGTAGAGCAAAACTCAGTGGAGGACTCACAGGACACACATCTTCCAGTATTCACGTGATGGGCCATTCAAGAGCAGTAGGACCATTAGATGCTGGAACAACACAATTACTTGTGTACTGATGCAAGTATCACACGTGTGTCTGCCAGGGCTTGTGGTTGGGTACTAGTTTCTTTGACAGCGTGTATATCTACTGAAATATGTGCCATTCTTCTCTTTTTTTCTTTAAGAAAAAATCACTTGTCACTGTAACAATGGCATATTGAAATAATCACCAAAATTAAGCAATGATATTACAGCACAGACAGAATTATGTCTTTTTAGCTTGTTTTAATACTATGAGCTCAACTGACAGTTGGGAAAATGGGTTCCAAGTGGTACAGAAATGTACCTTGATGAAACAAAATTTCCAAAGTCCTTAAAGTCTGAGGAAATTTGGGTCTCATCCTTAAAATGTAACTTTTTCATATTTGAGCTAAAATAAATTTATGCCTAACATAATTTGGAACTGTACCTAAACACTGAGTTTGGACATCTTCCAACAGAAATATTGAGAAAGAAGAGGAAATTTAACAGGTACCAAAAGAGACATGAAACAAATGTTTGCGTGTCCAAACTTCACTGTCATTATACAGCTCTCCACTGATGACTCATACCTATGATTTAGCATTACTCATTATTAGTTGTTTTTCCAGATAATATTTACAAGTATATATTAAAAAATAGATAAGAAATATTAAAATGTATACAAGTAAGATGTTTTTAAAATTTTGAGACAGATGGAAATTACATTCCCAAGTAAAATTTACTACTCAAAGAAAACGTCAACTGCAAATGCTTCCTTTCCTGTTTTCTTTTCTTTTTAATGAATTGAAGAGATGCACTGGAAAGAGAATGTTTGGAACACTTAACACACGTGTGCATCAGATTTCCTCTACCTTTCCTTCTTGAAGATTAACTCATGCTCCATTCTAGCCAAATGAGCAATCCTATACGAGCCCTATTAACCAAAAATCCTAGAAGAGAACAATAATGAGATTTCAAATGACTCGAGGATTACTTAACTAGCGAAATAAAAAGAAAGCATTTGAAAAAAAAAAACCAAACATACAATGATCTGCTGGTTTAGATTATTGATTAAAGAAAAGATTCAACTGAGATGTATGTTAAAGAATAAAGGAAGAATGCATAACACTCACTGGACTTCTTCCCACTTAATTTTCTCCAGACAGTATTGCAAATGTTGTCTGCCCACCTTCTCCTCCTTTTGGTCAGAAGAACATTCCAATATTTACAACATGAACTTTAAAGTGCAAGAGAAATTAATTCAGGTTATTGCTCTATGCTCTTGACTTACACCTAACACCAGGATTTCCTTTGTTTTCTGGTCCCTTACCTGAAAAATAGACAAACCACTATCTTCTATACCTCAAATGTCTGCAAGGAAAATAAGCATCTATACAACAGTAGAGTAATGAAGAAGTGGCTGATGGCGTAGCTAAAACAGACACATCAGAAGTTCCAA